AAAACCGACCTCAAAAGTCTTTCATCCCCTAGTTTGCCACCACATTTAAATTACAAACTTCTGAGATACCCTATTTCCAACAAAAAAAGAATCATTAAAATCGATTCAGTTATCGTCTAACATACATACAAAAAAAACGTACAGTCAAATTGAGAACCTTCTCCTTTTTTGAAGTCGGCTAAAAATCGTTTCATTCTTTACTTTGTTGAGTCATAAAATGTTCTCTCTCCTGGTAACTGCCATTCCGCAGAAACATTTTAATGCTCACGTCAAACGCATTTGGGAGCGTTACAAATACAAAGTTGGTTTGATTCTTGCTACGGGCCTGTCTCTACAAATGTGGTAGAACTAACGTAGCAAATTAAAATATTAACTTGGTTGAAAATATCACAAGCAACACATATATCAGTAGAGCTCCTTGTGAAGAAGTTCGTCCAGGGAAGTACTGCCACCTTACCTATTTCACATGTCAACTTATATCTCAGGGTGACGGGCGCTGTGGCAGTGCCCTAAAATCTTTGCGATTTAAAGCGTTGAGTGGCACAATAACTGTTATGGATAGGCATGTCGGTTACTACCAGGCGCACGACTTGTTCGTCCCACCACTTGGTATTAGAAAAAAAATCTAAATAATCTTTTGGCTTTTCGTACATCAACCTTTTGTTGCCGAAATGCTTAAAAACTAATTGCACGGAAGGAGCCAATCAATCTTGAAAATTTGTTATAATTATTACTCGCATGCCAACTCACAAAATAAACTATTTCTGCTTTTAATTAGTGAGTGCAACAGGTAAATGAATCATCGCATTATTACCAAGATGCTTGTTCGGAACCCTTGTGTGGATGTCAGACATCCGATATTAATCCATGCTGATTCATATTTCTGTCTCTTATTTTTTTACTAAAAAAGACAAACCGTGCGAAAACTTAATAAATTACGAAGAAAATAATCTTTAAAAAACTATAAGTTTGTTATTTTTTTGAGATTGACATTTGACAAGTTTGAATACATGTCGGATACAAACATATGGTACAACATTGATACGGTAGCATTCTGTTTTTCAAATTAGTTTTATAAATATGAAGATTTTATTAGACTTATCAATGGTAATGATCTCTATGAACCCTGAGTAACGTGCATTAACGTGTAAGTGAATTGACTCGTCACAGAAATCACTTTACAGGCAGACGTCACTACTCGACTGTAAGTTTGTAAAGCCAGAAGCGTATCTAAAGAAATCAAATAACAGATTCCATTACTATTAGATTCCATTTGATAAAAACGAATAAGATATTCTATTACTTCGGGTCAGAATTCTAAAATACGAAACATCAGGGAACCATAATTGGACTACGTTTTGTTTGGAAATCCGACTCCAGTTTTTGTGCAAGACTCCGTGTAATTATGAACTTAGCTGAGTGTTCCACATTTTGTTTTGGAGTCGTTTCTCTTTTGCCATTTGAAACTACAACATTACGTTCAAACGAACGGCTAAAACGAAATGATTGCTTCAAATTTTGTTAGTAACGTTAATTTGTGTTTGTTTCTTTGATCATGATTTTTATAAAGGGTCTTTCAACAAGAACTTTGTTTTCTAAAACAAAATAAAACAAAAAATTTAGATGAAGATGATTCAAATTTTTATTGTATTACAAAGAGAAAAGTTCGGCAATTATCAATGAAAAATGATATCTGGCAAATGTCCACCACGACCACGCTGACAGAAGTCGATTCTTTCATCAAAATTTTTAATCACTTTTTGGCAAAATGTCGGGTCTATTTCGGCTATCACATCGCGGATTTTGAGTTTTAAGGCTGTAGTCGATTCGATTGGCTCCGTATAGACTCTGTCCTTAAGATAGCCCCACAAAAAATAATCCAGTGGTGTTAAATCACACGATCTGGCTGGCCATTTAACAGCTGAATTTCGGGAAATTACGCGATCAGCAAATTTGGTTTGCAATAAATTGATCGTCTCATTGGCTGTGTGACATGTGGCACCGTCTTGTTGAAACCACATGTCAGTGATATCCATGTCATCAATGCTAGGCCAAAATTGAGTTGTTAACATCTCGCGATAGCGTGATCCATTCACCGTTACCGCATTTCCAGCCGAATTTTCGAAAAAAAACGGCCCAATGCCAACGGCACAAGTCACATTGCCACCGAAACAATGAATTAATTTATTGCAAACCAAATTTGCTGATCGCGTAATTTCTCGAAATTCAGCCGTTAAGTAGCCAGCTCGATCATATGATTTAACACCGCTGGATTATTTTTTATGGGGTTATGTTAAAGACAGAGTCTATACGGAGCCAATCGAATTGATTGCAGCCTTAAAACTCACAATTTTTGAAGTGATTAACCAAATAAACCCACCACTTTCTCAAAAAGTGATTAAAAACTTTATGGAAAGAATCGACATCTGTAACTGTGGTCGTGGTGGACATTTATCAGATATCATTTTTCATTAATAATTGCCAAACCTTACTTTTATTAATACAATAAAAATTTGAATCATTGTCATCTAAATTTATTGTTTTATTTTGATTTACAAAACAAAGTTCTTATTGAAAAACCCTATACCTACATTCGCGAATGTAAGTTTATTCTATTATCTGTATGTGATGTACATTCGATTTAATTCTTAATTATTTACTTCACTAATAATACTAATTTTTCGTTAATAAATTCGTTCAATTTCATTATTATGTAATGTAATGTAATAGCCAATGTTAAATTTGGTAATGGGTGTACACCAAAATAAACAAACATTTTATTTTATTTTTATTTTACTAATATCTTATATGTAGTTTAAGGTTTTTATAATTTTGTTTTCTTTATATTGGAGGCAGTAAAGAGAGATTTTATTTTATTTAAAATTTCTGCCAAATCTCTAAATAATAATCGAATGAAACTTTAAAAATTTAAATTTTTCTGGACTTTGTTTTTTATCGGGCAAAGTTTAGTCAATCGTGCACCACAGAGTTCACTACCGATATCTTTTGTTTTCATTATCTATTAAAAAAACAAGTTGAATTCGAATTTTTTGAAAGCCGATTTTCCGTGTGGTTGAAAGACGACAAAACGTCTATGGTCTCACTTCACCATAATGACGAAAAAACATCTTAAACCTCCACTAACTTCAGCCTCATTAAAGTTATCACCGCCACTAAATAGAACCTTATTAACCTTAAACGGGGTGAAGACATTAACATTTATTGAGCCATAACACCCGCTTTTTCACGATATTGCAATGCGATTAACATTATAAACATACCTTTATGAGGGAGTCTTACATTTATTGGACAGTTTTCTCAGGACGAAGGATTAAAAACAACACGTGGATACGGTAATTACTGTGTGTGCGTAGCTTTATTGAATCTGTTAAAATTTTTAATAAAAGCCTGAAGAGCGTTTTTAATTTATAGAAATAGGTAAATCGACTGGTGGATTTATAAAATTTCACTTAAAAAAGGGTTATAGAGAAAAATTTAAATAACTTTTGAAATAAGGTTCTGGTTACGACGCGTTCACGCCTTAACTTTGTGCGTGTCGGAAAAGGACTAATGCCTAGGTTCCTTATGATTCGGTCATATCTGAACGCAACAGATTGGCAATTCAATAACTGCATATGTTGTATTACATTCCAAAATACTTTGAAAGTATGAACCATTTAAACCAAACCAAATATTAGACACTTCAGCCTTGTCTACTATTAATTCTGACATAGTATAATAATAGTGTATCCATATAAAAACGCCACCGCGTGTCGTGTACCTACGGACAGTACGGACGCACACATTCGCCTAATTTCGCATTGCACTCGAGTTACACAGCGAGTGTTGTACGTCATTCATTATGTTTTAGTAGCAGTAGAGCTTCTTCGTCCAGGGAAGTACTGCCACCTTGCCGATTTCTACCGGCAAGCAGTAATGTGAGCATTAATGCGTTCCGGTTTTGAAGGGTAAGGGTGCTGGAGAAATTTCAGCCACATGGGACTAAGATGTCAGATTATGTCTCAGGGTGATGGGCACAGTGGCAGTGCCCCTCAGATCTTTGTGATCTATAATTCAGAGTGGCACTGTTATGGACAGGCGCGTCGCTTACCACCAGGTCCACGACTTCTTCGTCCCATCACTGGTATAATAAAAAAATAGAATCGATGCGTAGGTACGCCCGATGTTTAAAATATTTGGTATGATAACAATGCGCGATGCTGATATAAATATGGAATTTTGACAAAGATTATTTTAATGTATGACGAGAATACTGTGATTAATAAATTAATTTATTCCAGTTATGTTTATAACTTGCAGGTACAACTAAAATGATAATGTGACAACCCTATGCTCCGAGATAGCTACGTATAGTTATTGCTGCCCCAAACAGTACACTATTTGTCTTATGATAACTTAGTATTTTTAATTGAATATAGAAAAATTTAATATAGAATAAATGCAACCCAAACGCCAAATGTTTTTAATTTGTAAAAAAATAAGTGCGTATTTGACCTCCATCACACCTGGTGGAAAGTGACGATGAGATCGACGATGACGCATTCACACTTTAATAATATCTATTCACTCTCGCCTTGGAAAGGACCAAGTTAGCGTTCAGAGAATAAGTCTGGTGTCAGGGAATTCTACTCTATAGTATAGTAGCCGTTCGCTATTTAAATGTGCAAATTGTGCTCTTAACTCTGAAAGTCAGATTTAGATTTTATAATAATTAATATATAATTTTAGAGGATAATACTTGAATTTTTTTATTGAATTGATATTCAATTATTTTTTGTGAAATTATTCCACCAGTTTGTTATAATTATTCATACAAAGATCGAAACTCGATCTCGAACGAAATCGAACTTAGAAACATTCCTTCGATCCGGCCGGATTCGAACGGGACGAACCAGCGGACCTCAAGTTTTTCAAGGACAATAATTCTTAAAGCGATTTTGTGAATAATTTTGTTTATTCTATTGTTTCAGAAAACCAAAATGGTGACCAACATAACGATATTACTCATATTTGTCACTCTGACATCCGTTACATGTCAGACGTTCCAGTATTCCCGTGGCTGGACCAATGGCAAGAGAGATTCACATAAACGAAGCGGAGAGGAGGGAGATATCTCTGGTAATCTAGAGAGGATCTTAAGTCCTTGTCAGTTGACGAAACTCAAGTATTTGTTGGAAGGACAGCGGCTTAAGAGTGTAAGTTGTAATCTTTTCTTTTTTTTATGATACTAAGTGACTGAACGAACAAGTCGTGCACCTGTATGGACAGGTGTGTCGCTTATTACCAGGTAGTTGCAGTGCCACTCAGAGCTCTACATGACATAAGGCCCGTGTACCTGTAATTTCACCAGCACTTTTACCGTTCAAAATCGGAAAGCAGTAATGCTCACAGCACTGCTCGGCTATAGAAGTACTTAAGGTAAGGTGGCATTACGTCTCTGGACGAACTCTTGCACAAGGGGCTCCACTGCCTGTTGACCTCACGAGTCGACGACCTGGGCGGCCTAACGGTTTGCACTGAAGCCCAAGATGAGGAGGTCCGGGGTTCGATTCCCGGTACGAGTAATTTGGAAAACTGTTCTAAAATTGGTTCTATGCCTCTATTACAGTGACAGTTATCGCTAGCGACTGCGTAAGATGTTTGTAGTGCTACGGGCGCCGTACAATTTGCCACACAAAAATTGTGGAGTAATTTATGTGGTCGCTTGCGACAACTATCATAGCAAACTCGTGGCAGAGGTCAAATTAGGGGATGAATCTGGTTTATTGGATTTCGATTCCACCCAGTTTCCATTATCCGATTTTAATAAAACTTGGCCGATAGATTCCACAAACTTTGAGGTCGGTTTTTTACATAAAAGTTATAATTATTTGGGTCTAAAATCTCAAACAAACCAGCGTTTCGGGTTCTTTACAGGCTCCATGGTCGAGGCTTTTAGTTGCCAAAGAAATGAAACCAAAGGAATGGCTATAAAGGATTGCACGATACGAATAAAATTGTTTATTGAGTCCAATTTATACTTGCATTAATAATAATAATAATAAATAAATCATTTATTTAGCATCCAAAGCCCACTTGTTAGTAAAATACAGACATTTTTAAACTTATGACTATTGTTAGTAAACACAGAGACAAAACGTAAAACATTAAAACATAAAAACATTTATTATTACGCTCGAGGCACCGCCGATTACCCCATCACCTCACCAGAACTTGGACGAAATGACGAAGCATTGGCGCATCGAGTTTAGCCGCAAACGTTTTCAGGATGCTGTTAGGATTAAAGCGACGCAGTCTCCGTGTGGGTAACTACCATCCGCTAACTGGTTATTTTATATTTTGATTGGACGAAATAAAACAAGGGTTTGCGCAAAACCGGCGAATGTTGGAAAAGAGTATTGAAGAGGATCGTAAGCCTGACAGCGCACACTGATGAGGATCATCGCTTACGACACCGCGAGCGTGCGAACGTGCCGAAGCGTCCGTTAGTATGTCGCGGCGTCCGCCTACATCCCAGTTGCTCGGATTTGACTATTTAACCCTTGCTTGAGCTCACTAAATGCCGTATCAAACATTTTGTGCGGCGCGTTCCCGTTATGTCGTAAAGTTTTATTTATCATTGGACGACTGTCGCATCTAGCCTGTTCCTATGTCACGACTATCTGTCGTGACTGTGTCATGTACGTTTATTTTATCGTTGAACAACTGTCGTGTCTAGCTATTCCCACTAGATCGTAATGACAAAAAAAAACAACAATCGGTTCACGGCAGCCGCCTTGTCACATTTTTATCGCGACGTTTTATTTATCGTCCGACTGTCGTTCTAGCTGTTCCCATTGTCGCGACAGTCTGTCGTCGTAACGTCAAAAAAGTCGTGAACGACAGTTAATCGTGCTATTCTATGTGTGAACAACTTCATTTAAATATACAAGCCACGACACTTTAAACTGCACCACTGTCTGTCGTCACGACATCCTGGGAACGCGTCCTTAGTCTAATACGTCAATCTTACTAGGCTTGCAAAACATTCTCCACTGATAGTCCAATAATATCTTGTTTATGTATGAATGTAACTTTTTTTTTATGATATCATAAGTAACGGGATGAACAAGTCGTGTGCCTGCTGGTAAGCAAGACACCTGTTCATAACAGTTGCAATGCCACTTAGATCTTTTAACCGCAAAGATCTGTGGGGCACTGCCACTGCACCCGTTACCCTGAGAATTAAGTTGACGTAAGTTCCATGTGCTTGTAATTTCACCAGCCCCCTTGCTCTTCTAAAAAGCATAAAATATAGGCACATTTATAAGTCAACTATCTTGGCTGGCCTATCTGGCTTCCTGTTCGCCGGTTTGCAATTGGCCTTAATGCTCGAGAATAATTCATTATTATTTTATACTAGGTATTAGATAGAGAAAAATAACAAAGTAATACTTATTTATACTTCCTTGTCACTTCTCTAGTGAATTATGGGAGGTTTGATGATATATTTTTAAGAGTCTATATAATCTACCTCAAATAGTTTTGGTTGATTCCGCATAGCAGTCAAAGTGTTGAATCAATCACTTAGGAAAAAATATAAAGTAAAATTGAGGATTTGTCGATGGATCCTAAGTATAAGGGACAGCCTAACAATTTGATAATTTTCACTTTTTTGTGGGAAATGCTTCATTTCATTATAATCTATAAGGTAGTGTTAAAACAAAATCAAACACATTCAAGTAAACCTCGAAATACAAGGATATCTTGAAAATATACCAGATCGAAAGTTTGGAAGCCTCTCCTACATAATTGTGATTTTGCGCTTTGTCCTTTACACATAGGATCCATCGATATACTGATTACAAAACGTGTGAAAACACGATTCCTAAAAATTTCCACGATAGACAAAAACACAAACTTACCTCGAAATTTTACAAGGAAATCGCTGTATTCAATAGGTATTTTACTTAGTCCAGAACTAAATAGAACGCATATAAATTTTTCAAATTACTTTAATTCCTTTTCTAAAAAAAGTCTTAAATAAAGCCTGACCTAAGCAAAATTAACCGTATTAGTATGGGAAAAAGTTTAATTCAAGCTGAGGTTTGAAAACATTCGCACTAGTGTGCTGTTTAAAGGGCCCAAAAAACCTCCACTGGACAAATTGGCTATTATAACATGGCGAAGTTTGACGACCTTGAAGTTTGACGACGTCGGTGGCCTAAAGGTATACACTGCGGGCGCTGGATGCAGAGGTCCCGAGTTCGATTCCCGATAGGACCAATTTGGCAAATTAACTTTTTTATATTGGCTTTGTTTTGGGTGTTCTGGGAATCCCAGAATGAATTCCGTTGCTCTGATACTCATAGTACAGGAAATGCCCTAGTTTGAGACAAGGCAATCGGTTTAAATTGTCTGGCACACTATTACTGTAATAAAAATATTTAAAATCTCTTCTTTTCAGTTATTCGCCCCTTGCGATTATATGGAAGATGAAGACCAACCGAAGCGGTATAAAAACGACCGCAACTCAGACATGATGGACGCTTTCCAGTAACCGATCTGCAGCCGTTTTATTTGATGACCTCCGTTTTAACGTACTAGATGTTAGCGCGCTAAGGGACTGTGATGCCCCGATTCTATTTTCGAATTATTTATTTTGAAGTAGACCAGGTGCTTTCGTTTTAAAAAAGATTAAAATCTATAGCAATAGTTTGCTGTTAAAACATAAGGAAATTCTTTGTAATAATTTATTTAGATAGGTTGTAACTTTAATAAAAATGATAAGTACTTTGAATAAAAATATTTCCCGAAAATTTGCGCTATATTTAAGTTCATAGTTATAGTATTATATTATAATGACAAGTACTAGGTACTTAAATGTAATAAACATTAAATTATGTAAAAAAGTAATGCATACTTGGCTGGATGTATGCATAACTAAAGACATTCAAGTTTTGTCTTGAATAAAATACTTATGCAAATAAATGCTTTTTAAATAAAATAAAAATATTTGAATTCAAATTGGTGGAATAGCGTCGTAAGACGATAAAGAAATATTATTATTTCGACACATTCAACGTTAGAATAACAGATTTGACATAATTCACAATGATGATATTTGATGAAGAAAAAAGCAATGAATACTAGTAAAAAAATTAGACAACAACACTTTTTTTACAATATTAAGGGACGGAACGAACAAGTTGTGCGCCTGATGGTAAGCTACACGCCTGGCCATAACTGTTGCCGTGCCACTCAGATCTTTAAATCGCAAACATCTGAGAGGCACTACCACTGCGCCCGTCACCCTGAGACATAAGTCCCACGTGCCTGTAATTTCACCAGAACCCTTACCCTTCAAAACCGGAACACAGTAGTGCTGATATTACTGCTTGGCGGCAGAAATAGGTAAAGTACTTCCCTGGATGAACTCTTTCACAAGGAGCTCTCCTGCTACTATTCGACGTGTAATCCAATATTATTAATAAAATATATGATTAATTATTACATTTTTATTTAAGATTTTATTAAGTGGCGTCAAAAATTTGTGGCCTGATTATTAAGTTACAAACTAAATTGGATAAAGCGACATCTAGTAGTAGGTTTGTGTACTAGTAAAGGTTCAAAGGTGCAAAGCGCCATCTTATTAACAAATTTAAAACTGCTAACTGAGATGCTGTACAGCGTCATCTAGTGTTGATTAGTGCTACTAGACATAACCGTCGTAAACTATTTTTCTTTTTTTTATAGTTCTTCTATTCGACACATTATGGCGTTGTAATTATTTAGATAATTTTGAAGAGGTTTTTTGTGTCAGAAATTCGGTGATAGAGTATTTCTGTAAAATAGTTTCATTAATATTTTTACATATTTTGAATCTTACATTATTATTTTTGCATTTTATTGTAGTATTTCGACTGTACGTACATATATTATTATATTACTATCCGAATGGTAAAAGTCATTATAAAATCATTAAACAGAAACATAGACAAGTTGATCGTTTTATTTTACCAAGCATGTAATTTACCAGTCATCTATCACGAATAACAAAGCTCCGAGTGTGATCGTGGTGGTATCACGCCATTTACAAAGTTGTTATTACTAATTTTCAAATGCAGCATATAGAGGCAATAATTGCTTTTGTTTTACTTTTATGTAGATTGGGAATATTCGAAAGTCACTTATGTTTACTTTGACAAGTAAAATAAGTCATTTAATGTTAACTTTATTTACTAGACCTGATGTGCTAAGCTCTCAGGTCTCTCCTTAAAGGTCAGCACTGGCACAATTGGATGTAGTTAAGCAAAAAACTTAACCTTACCAAACGGTTAACCAAATCAGCAAAAAATCCAACATATAAACATAAATATATATATCTGGAGTTACATAACATTATAAGTTTTGAAAATAAAACAAGAGTGAGAAACACTTTTAAACTTCAAACTGCCGTATCTCGAAAGAGGCTGGATGTGCATTGGATCCTTTTTCTTTAACTACGTTCAATTATAGATTGTTGTTATGTTGATGATTAAGCGTTTATTTTTCTCGCCCATTATACCACACGATTACATCAAATGAAAATAGCCTCCACTAAAGAAAAGTGTAATAAAAGAAACAAAACACACGAAAGCGTCTCAATGAGAATGGGATCGATTTAAAATCCATTTGAGGCCGCCAGCTATATTCCGTTTAAGTTTGCGGGCTCAAATTACCCAGTGTTTGCGATGTCGATAAAATAAACTTAAGTATATATCGACAAATTTAATTCAACTGTGCCCATATAGATATTAAATGATACCGACGAACCTGTACACGGGTGTGATTAAAAATTATGATTATTTTGTGTCTGACGGATAGTATTTGGCTGGACTCAAGTAGGTTTGTAAAGAGACTACCTGACTACAGCAATGCCGAGGAGAGTAGTTAATTAAAGTGTGTATTTCGCCTAAAGCCTTTATCAGTTTCGACAAATTGATTCTAGTCTATCAGCGCAAACGTGATGTACCTAACCCAAATCTATTTTTTTTATACATTATTAGGTTCCTTACATGATACTAAAGTACAAAATTGTTTTACACTTGGACGCCATTTTTATGTATAAAACATTTAATCTATTTTTATATATGAAAATAGCATATAAATACGAAATAATTACGTACTTTAGTGTCATTTGAGGTAATACTATAGATAATAATTGTTTGTGCTGATAGCCAGATTTATCGTTTAATTCATAGAAATGTCCCAAGTGGAGGACAGTTTAGTTTACATAATAAAATGTAAACTTCACTAGTTGCAATTCACAATACATGAGGTTTAACAGCTCATTCTACCTCCCTCTTTTACCTTCGGACATCCAGACGTACGGCACGAAATCATTCCTACTTGATCGATATTCCCTTCAGGCGTACTAAGGGCTGATCGTTATGTTTTATTATGCGTACAGCCCAGGACTGAAATTTCTAGCCTGCAACTACATTTCCGAGCACATAGTACCTGAGTACTTTTAAGGTCGACTGAATAGTCATCTTCTGGGCAAGCTCGTGTTATGGTCCTATCTTTGCTCCAGGGCTTAGGTAGTGGTCTTGAGAGAGTCTATTACTTTTTAAAAAAAAAGATCGCCACGATAAAATGTATTGTGGTACTTACATAAGAAAACAAAAGAAACTAAGTAACTTGACCAGGGATGCATATATCAACAAGGCTTGTTAAGTTGGAATCGAAGATTGCAACTGCGAATATGAGACTTTGTACATTTTAATAAAAAATATATACAACCTTCACTTTCGATAACTTATCGACTATCAGCTTTGTCACATCCTTGGCTATCGTAAGAATGAGATGCCCTAAACTTAAAGCCATTTCCGGCCATCGCGCAATCTGTTCTAAGCGACGAACCAATCAGATCGCAGGAGGGCGGCGCGCGCCAACTAATAACGCCATCTGATTGGTTCAAATTGTTAAACGGGTTGCCTGTGTAAAAAAAAGCGGGTAAAGCTCACAATTGAGTGCCACTTTTTTGTTCGTGTTAAATTGATGAAAAAAGACTCACAAATTGGTACAGAGATGAAATAAAAAATGATTTATTATTGTACGAGATTAACTTTTCAACTTATTGGACGTTAATAACTTTTGAGCACGCAGCAGTATTAAATTTTCGTTTTCAGGTGTTTTATTTATAATGGATTGCCAGTTTTAAAATTGTACTGGCACTTATTTTGTTGTTTTTTTTCTTTTTTGCTATATAAGCTGTAGATATTCTTTGTTAATCCACTCAAATGACAGTGGGAACTGTTATAAAATTAGTCTCTTTTGTAGTATTCCTAGTAACATAAGCAGCAATAAATATGTAGGTAGTTTGATTGTACTACCTGTTGGCAAAAATGTCCTTATATGCAACTTATTACATAAGTAGTAGCAGTAGAAAGAGTTCCTTGTAAAAGAGTTCGTCTAGGGCGGTAATGAACACAGCGAAAGTGGTTAAGCAAAATTTTTGAAGGCGGTATTTTTTATTAAACAAGTGCTTCAAATCGCAAAGATTTTGAATGAGGAGCACTCGCTCACAATGCACCCGTCCGCCTGATAAGTGCCGATAAATTTACCAGCACCCTTGGCCCGTTTTCGCAGTGCGTCTGATCCATATCCGTTCTTTATCCGAGAATATACAAATCTGGAAAACTCGAACCGACTTCGGATGTCGCTTGTGCACTAAGTCCCATAATGAATACGAGAAAACACTAATATCGCTTGTACACCTAGAGATTACAACTATTTCTCCTTTCAATCTCTGCCAACTTTTGTCATTGTTAGTACATGGGAAGACGCAGAAGGAATAAAAAGTTTTGAGACCTACCTACACGTTCTCCTGTTGAACTGACTTTTCAGAGAAACATTTTATGTCAAAGTCAAAGTCAAAGATTATTTATTCCATAGGTACCATTGACCTACAATTATATGGACGTCGGGTCCGCGCTAAAAAGTGTCCGCACTTGTAAGGCGCTAAAATCGTATACAGAGCGCGACACTCCGCTTTAGTCTTCATTTGTTCTACTGACAGCGCAATACTGCGATGACATTACAATTTAAATTTCGAATAGGTTGACTTGGGACATTTTTTTCGTGGTTTTTGTATTAGACCCGTCGTCCATTTATTTGTAAGTCAATGATAGGTACCTAAAATAAATTTACACTTGAAAACGTCACATTTAAGCTACTGCTTGTTCACTATGCTGACCTCCCTGAGAAGAACGAGCAAGAAACTCTAGGGATTGCTCTTTTCAAATAAACTTAAATGCTATGGAATACACTTTGAATCAAATTTGTGTGGATTCTGGAGCCGTGTCGTCTTTCCATACATCTGTATCTAACACGTAGTCTTCAATTTCGTAATATGATTTTTCGATCAAAATATTTTAATGTAGTTTTTAAGCTTAGGAAATGATAAACTTAATATATGCTCCGGAATTTTATTGTAAAAACGTATACAGTTCTCCATAAAAGAGTTGTTTACCTTGGTTAAACGAAATCGTGGTTCCATGAGTTTGGACTTAGCTCTACGGTTAATATTATGGATGTCGTCTTTCTTATTGAAATTATGTATATTGTTACGGGCATATAAAATATTTTAGTAAATGTACTGTGATGCCACAGTCTTGATACCAGTGTCCTTAAACTTTTCTCTGAGAGAAACCCGAGAGCATAGACGGTACACAGAACTTATAATAATTATAATATAAGATAATAAGAAATACTATAAGAAATTATAATAATTACAATGAACTTAAACAAAATAGCCAGAAATTTGTTTATGAATGGATGTGTCCACTTTTAATTTCGATACTTACTGTTTCTTTTCATCCCTCCGCGCAGCTGTCACCGCCGCGTTGACACTCGAATCGGACTGTCGATGTCATGTCGGAGTGACAGCCCAAGCGTAAATACAATTAATACCGTACTTACTTTGGTCTACGATAATAATGATCCGAATTGAAGCTATTCTAGACTTCGGAAGACGGAATTCTGATTTAGTGCGCCATTCCTCATTATATAAATAGTACTATGATTACTTCGCACCGTCACTTTTTGGGTTCGGAACTTAGGGTTCTACTTCCGTTCTCAATTACTATCAAATAAGTAATACTCGCCAAATTAAAACACTTAATGCCTTTTAGTATGTCGAGTACCTATTACTTATTTCACAGTAGGTAACTGTTTCGAAAGGATGTCAGACGAAGAACGGGAGTAGACGTTACGACGTAACAAACGCTCTTACTCTATAAAACCGGAACGTAGTAATGCTCGCACTAGTTACTTCCTTAGACGAACTTTTTCTCAAGGAGTTCGACAAAAAATATCTTTATTTCATAGGGAAGCAAATCGCACTTGAAGTCGTCAAACCTATTTAACACTCCTACTCATTCGTAAGGCAGATTATCCCAAAATACTATACAGGAAAATTCAAAAAAATTATAATCTTAATTACTATATTATTTTAATATATAATAATTTTCATCACATTCATTGCTCTGATCGCAAAGTAAGTAGCTAAAGCACTTGTGTGATGGAGATCGGAAACAACGACGGTACCACAAACACCCAGACCCGAGACATTATAGAAAATTAATTTCTGCACTGACCTTGGCCGGGGATCGACCCTGGGACCTCAGAGATAACGGCACCATGAAAACCGGTGTGCAAGCCACTCGACCACAGAGGCCGTTAAATTTAGTTTTAAATTAATTAGATTGATAATTACACTACTAAATATAATAATATAATATCAATATTAACTAATTACGTTCGAGTTCAAAACGTATTTAAATTGTAAGTGTAATTTTACTAGGCCGTTATACGAAAAATACATGAGTACGAACATGTTTTTACTTAATAAAAAAGATATAACAAAAAAATGGGTCTGCAGTTTTTTTTTACGCACACACTCAACGTAGCCCCGCACTAGGGTAAGCCTGTGTCGCGAGTGCCATGGACATACACATAGACAGCCACAATTTACACCCAAACTCACTAGAGAAATAATGTAGACCATACAAATATTTCTCCCGGCCCGGGAATCGAACCTGGGACCTCTGCGTGGCAGTCAACGTTGGGCCACCGAGGTAGTGTGTTTATATGTGTAAAAAAAGAAGAAAATTGAGAAAATTGTCACGGCTGACATATCGCACCGCTATTACAATAGTGTAGCATCTCAAAATATGTGAAATTAAAAAATTATACTATTGCTGAACTTAAAATTTTATTCTTTACAAGTCAATAAAACCTTAGAATTTTGTAAGATTTTTTTTTTTTTTTAGTTTAGAATATTGTAAGAAACAATTAAAAGATATCCATTTAATTCAAAATGAGACAAATTTTATAAGAGCTTGTTCTGGATAAAACAATCCTTACTCAAAAATACGATTTAATTTTTTCCCGTTTATTTTGAAATATAATTGACAAGTAGGACATTGTTCAGATGTCTGTAATAAACTTTAACCTACACATAAACTTTAATAATCTTTCACGGGAAGTGAGTAATTCGTTTTATTTAATTGTCACTTGCTGCATGTGGCAGACAATAAAGAAGGACAAGCGTAGCTCTATCTAGGCAGGACTTTGCGAATCATCCGCTACTAGTCACGAGTCTCTACCAAGAAGAAAGAGTTTAGGCCGTTATCCACCACGCCGACTTCACGTGTTTTCCTTTACTGTCAACATAACTTAGAAGCGGTTGTCACATGCCACATGGAATTGAACCGATAGCAAGCTCTTCAATTGATAAGCAATCCTTCTCCCACTGATACCAGAACTTTATAAATTAATAATTGTAACTTTTATGAAAACGTCGGTTTGTTTGAAAAAATCAAATATACGCGATTTAAATCCGGAAAAATAGTTTAATTTCCTATGTGTAACAATCGCGAAAACCTAAGAATTCGATATGTAACTTTTTTATTAAAAAAAGCGACTTCAAAAATTCGTGAAATTACATATATTTGCAAAGTTTTTTTGAAATCTGGATTCCTAGTTTGCCATCCGTAGAGGTAGAATATTTCCATCAAATTTAAACCAATAATAAGGTGCCCTTTTTCCAACAAAAAAAGGATCATCAAAATCGGTTCATAAACGATTTATCCCGTAACATACATACAAAAAAAATACAGTCGAAATGAGAACATCCTCCTTTTTTGGAGTCGGTTAGTGAAATAATTGTTATTGCACGTAAAAATTACATTAACAACACTGAACAGTATTCGAATATTAGAATGAAATAATTAATATACAAAAAGCATTATTGCTAAGTAGCAAGTTCTTCCTACCAACTTAAGACTGAAAATTAGGTTATACAAAGTAGGTATAAGTACAGAATATCTTTTATTAGGTATCATTTACTACTATAATATACGTATGTTTAATAATATGTAATATATAGACATCAAAAGTGTCTAGGGATCAAGCACGTTCACCTTTTTTAAAACTGGTGGTAAATTTTTTCTTTGGTAAATTTTATTATTTGTATTTGAAAATGAAATTCACCAAAAAATGAAGAACGAGTAAGAATTTTAGAAGTTGTTCTTTGTAGTAAATAGATATTTATATAAAAAATATTTTTGTAGATAGTCTAAAACACCCAAACGGATCTCTCCTATGGATTTTTATTATCTGACCTCGTAAATAGCAATGATTATGAACAGAAGTCTTAGACGTAATATTATTATTATTAGTAAATTACCCTAGCAAACCCTGCACATGTTGTCCTTTGGACCGAACACCGAAACACCGAAACTGGAAAAAATGTGTAAAACAAATACACACTTTGCCAAATGTCGAACGTATGAGTTGTTTTCTGCTCTACTGAATAGCAATCAAAGCATATCAATACATTGTAGATTGTTTTCTGTTTCTCCTTTTGTTACCATTGAACGTAATAACATCGAGTCAAAAGCACGAGTTTCAATATTATTATATAATATTATATTATAGTGGCCTAATTCTGGAGTATGTCCAAGTATTTATTATTATTATTATAATAAATAAGACATGTAAAAACCTTTGTTTACTTTTTATTTGGCAATGATTAAGTTTAATATTTTAATTTTGACGATCTCCATAACGTTATATAAATTTGTAAATGCGCTAGCAACACGGAGTAAGTTTATATTTTTAATTACCACACCTTTAAATTAATATTAGGATTTTAATATTAATTACAAAGTAGTTAAGTTCATGGTTTTCATGGTGCCGCCATTTCTAAGGTCAGGGTTCGGTTCCCGGCCGAGTCAATATGTAGGGAAATCAACTTTTCTATATTGTCTCGTGAACACAAGTGCTTTAGTTACTTACTTTGGAATCAGAGCAACGTATTTTGAGGAGTTTCGTTGCGAGATCGGATCAGTAATGACGATATCCGCAAGGGAACCAGAGTAATCGAGATAGCCCTAAGAATTGAGAAACTTAAGTGGCAATAGGCAGAGCACATCACTCGCAGAACAGATGGCCGATGGGGCCGAAGAGTTCTCGAGTGGCGACCGCGTGCCGGTTAGCGCGGCGTGGGCAGACCACCCACAAGGTGGACTGATGATCTGATGAATGCTGCGGGAATCCGCTGGATGCATGCGGTGCAGGACAGGTCGTTGTGGCATTCGTTTGGGGGAGGCCTATGTTCAGCAGTGGACGTCTTTTGGCTGCAATGATGATGATGATAAATAATTGATATTTTTATTTAGAATTAGCTACATGTGTGAAATTTAATTTGAGATTTATCAAGAGCCTTACGGTGAAGGAATACATCGTGATGAAACCGATACAAAACAATGTGTGACATGTCCAATCCGTATTGGGTCCGCGTGGAAACTACAGCCCAAGGCCCTCTCATTGTGATAGGAGTCTTGTGCCCAACAGTGGACTGTGGATGGGCTAACTATTATCAATTAACTTTATAGGTGGTAACAACGGACTCAATAATCTTTACTTTAGAATTAAAAAGAAAGTCCTCTTCATTCATGTTACCAGTTAGTTACCCGCGGGAGTGTTTTGTAATACTAGAAAAATGTTATTATATTTTGTTATTATTTTTTCACAAAACCTATTCATTGTCACAGGTTCAATCACAGCTGGAATCAGATGTGCAAAATAATAAAAATTTACAGTATTCATAGTTCATGTCGGTGATCCTGAATCCAGGGCATTAGAGAACTTATGTTTAAGCTGGGTTCCCTTTCTATGCTTTAGAAATAACAAAAATCAATAGATATCTACTCCTTATCAGGCATAATTTTAATTGTAGTGATAGCACTAAAGAAGTTAGCAACACTATTTCTCGACAAGTTATAGAATCGCCATTGTTATAATACGTGTTTTTTCAACAGGAGCCATTATACCTAATCCCAGTAACAACCCAAACAATCTAAGGTGTAACCCAGCCAAGCGTGATTATGACTATTATGCTTGCTATAACATTACTCCTGACAATTTTAGCCCTCAAATGCAAAAACCAGTAAATCAAGATTATGACGTCACAGAAGCAGCGGTCGCTCAAGAACTGGTAGTTTAAGCAAAAACGGGTGTAAGGGCTATGTATCAATAACTTCCATTGCATGCTCCTCTCGCCCTCTCGAATAACTTTTTTCCACGGCGATTAAATTTGAGAAAATAAAATAATACCTTCCCGCAATTGGAATGGGAGATACATTAATTACAGGTTGATGGGTCAACCTTTTGACCATGGAGCGTGACACTGCTTAGAAATTGCTTAGAAATACAGGGAGAAGGATAAAAAGGTCATAACGTGGTAAGAAAGGTGCAAGTAGTGACAATTATTGTGAATAACCACATAAGTCCATAATGTGTATAGTAACATAATAAATAAAATAGCAAAAGTGTATAGCAAAATAGTGAGAATACAAAAATAGTGCGAGACATCGAGGTTTTACTATAGGTAGTCGTGAGATAAGAGTTCTTACGAAAGTAAGTACGGTAAAAACGTGTTATAAAATAGTGTGTGGCAATAGTTTGTTTTAGAAGTATTGTGTGACACTAGTTCTTACAAAAGTTATAGTGATAAAAACTTGTTATAAAAATAGTGTAGTTCTTTCTAAAATTAGCGTGATAAAAAGTTGTTATAAAAGTGATCGGTTGTTAGTAGAGGCAGTCTCTAAATAACAACTGATTTTGTCAAAAGTAAGAATCATTCAACTTTGGTAAAAAATGGGTAGAATATGACACGATTTTAACAGGAAAAGTAAGTGTTTAATTTAAAGTAAGTTTGATAATAAGATGTTATAAAAGTAATGTGAGCCAAAGTTTTTAAAGAAGTAAGAATGATAAAAGATGTTATAAAAGAGGATTGAGCCAAAAGTTCTTATAATAGAAAGTGTACTAAAACACGCCACACGCTCATCAAAAGGAAACTGAATACAAACAATAAAATTTATCTCGCAAAATGATCACATTCATTGCCTATAATTGTTGCTGCAGTGATTTATGCTTGTTACGCTCAAAATATGGAAACAACTTATTTGTTTATTTCAATCGAATTTGTTTTTCAGTGTGTGACAAAAAGTGGTACGAGATAAAAGTTCTTATAAAAGTAAATGCTGTTGTAAAAGTGTTGTGAGGTAAAAACTTACAAATGTGGTTTGTTAGAAGAAATCTTACAAAATGTGGTTCAAGGCTACACGGACATGGAGTGCTGAACAACGTCGCTATATTCTGCTATAAGCGGCCGGCAAACAAAACTTTGCTCCGGCAAAAATATTATGTTAATTCTTTCTGTCGCCTTAGAAAAAGTTGTTCAAAATGACGAGTGGAACAACATGTTTGGTACACGATCACTTACACCGTCAAAAAAATCAAAAGAACACTGAACATTATCGATCACGTACATTTTGTCACAATTATAATTTATCATTGACCAAAAAGTAAAATGTTAATATTTTTATTCAAATTTTTATTGGAATGAAATTTAAATTTTAACAAAAATTCAAGTCGGCAATAGGTAAGTAAAAACCATCCATGATATTTGACAGATTTCAACAACCACAAGAAAAAAATTCTTATTTAAATTAAATTCAGAAAAATTAGTCAAAGTTCACTAGCGTTATTATTTCAGGATCCAAGAGTAACTCATGAACTTTCCCTGTAAAGTATAAACTTTATCATTACTAGTTTGTTATAATTATTAATACAAAGATAGAACACTCAGAAAAAATTCTTTCGATCCGGTCGGATTCGAACCGACGTCTTCTTGCATACCGTGCCAGATGTTATATGGCAAAGGAAAAACTGATTTTAAAAAAAATAAACTATTTATTTTTTTATTTACTAATATACAATTTTAACTATATTAGGATAGAGACGATATTATGTATAATACAGACAAGTGATGTCTATGAGTTAGGAAATAGTAATCAATTACAGTTCTTATGGTTTAAGATTATATAGTAGAAAAACGATGAGATAGTTAAACATAATTAGTTAAGTAATACATCATTAGTTAACTATTGTGAAATGGACCTTAGCATTTCCTTAGTGAGTGTTTACATGATTAGGTGAGTATGTTTACATTCGAAATACTTATCTAGCTATTGATTATACATTGTATTGTATTTATATAACATATGTATTGTATTATAATATTGTATTATATAACACCTCCCCCCTTAGAATAAAGATTGGGCGTTAGCGCCTGATCTTTGAGTTTGAGGAGATGAATGCAGATCGTCGTCTTCGTCTTCAGAAACACATGATGTTGAGATTGGCAGGTTGCTCAAAGGGATGGCTACTTGTGTGTTTCGGCGTCGCGTGGAATTGTCGAAACAGTTGTTAAATATTTGGATGCAATTTCTGTCGTTGGAGTGTCTGCTGCGTAAAAATCCGTTTGGGCATCGTTTGAAGATTTTAATCAATAAATATGTCAGTAGAATTATTCCAATTGAGAAATAAATCCATGTGAAGCTTCTTTGATTTTTCTCTAGAAATGAGTGATTTTTAGATATCTGGATTTTCTTTAAATGTTCTGAGTATTTTTCTAAATGTGTACTGATGCTTTTCAGGCTGTCGAGAGGCATTTCATTTATGGTGATAGGAATAAGTTTTTGAGATTCTAGATTAGTCGTGATTTCAAAACAATCTTCATTTCTGATGTCAGGAATGATAATCGGAAAAGTGATGTTTTCTTCTGAAGTATGAAATGCTGATAAAATACTGTATCCTGTGTGCAGTTTGCAACCTTGAGGTAAGGTGAGGATTCCTGAACCTCGTAGTTTGTGAGTTGATACTTCGTCGTTGCATTGAAGAACACAGCTTGTTTCTTTGTTTAAAATGTAGAGCCAACTGTTCTGACCCAATGGTTGGAAAGTGTTGATTTCAGCGGAAAATGTTGTCGTCGTACAAGTTGTCGGCAATGTTGTCGACTTGCTGAACAGCAGTTCCACCTCGCAGACTGGACGTGCCGAAGAATCGTAGATTACGAGGTCTTTGCAGATACGTTTTTAGGTTGTGAAGATGTCGCATTTTTCTAGTGAACTTGTCGATGCATAATATTGCCCACTAGGATCAGTAGCCAAATAGATGTGCTGTGGGATTATAGTAGAGTGGAAAGAGGAATTAGAATGTTAGATTGGGATAGAGTACATATGATATAATGTTAGAGGGTTGTTTTGTATTAAAGGGAATTCGAGAATATATATCAGTCGATTTGAATATACGTATGCTGATAGTGTTGAAGAGTCTAATAGTGTATGAATATTATCGATTGAAACTGGAGTAACAAATTGTTTGTGATTTCTAATTTTATTCGATTTTAAAAGTTGTTCATATAATTTATTAAGTGTTATGATCGAAGGATGTACTATATTTGATTTAGCGAAAAGAATGCTCGTCAAACAATCATTTATTTCATTTTCGAGACTTGTAACTAATTCTAAGATTTGTAGAGAAACTGATGATATATCTTCGCTAATCTTAATATCGAAAACGATAGTTTCGGTTTTATTCATGAAATCATTTAATCGATCGAGATTTTCGTTAATAATTTGTTCGTCATATGAAATTTTGAAAATAGTTTCATTAAAATTTTTTACCGTTGATGAAGTTATTTGAATTTGTTTCTGCATGAGATCGGTTAAATCAAGTTCTTGCTTTTCAAGTTTGTTGATACAGTCTTCATATTTTTTCGCGTCTTTAGCATCAGGCGTTCCGATGAGCCATTTCAAGACAGAACCAAGACCATCAAACAATTCTCTTTTGGAACGTGAATTTTTTCCTAGATACATTTTGAGTTCCGAAAGTCGATTCTCGATTTTATTCAGGTTGACGTTGAGGAATGATTTTGTTGATTGTACGATTGAAAATTTTAAGTATTGAGAAGAAATTGCATGGAATTTTTCCGATAAACGTAGCAAGGATTCGTGAGAGATAAAAAGAGGTTTCAATTCCTTGTAGATTATAAGTTTCCAAGAATCTTCGGATATGAGGATTGTACCTTCTTCTTTATAGAAAATACTAGAGTATGAAGTAAGGGGTTGGGATATATTTAGATAGGCAAGGGCTCCAGCTGTTGCCCTGTAACAGAAGGAGTATTCCTTTTTATAATTTTATCTCTAAGATAATTTTTATGAGTATGTATATTTTGTAAAGAAATAAGCAAATAATGACTTTAATAATAGAACATATTATGTAACTGTAAATATAGTTGGAATCGCTAAAGATATCGGTAAAGGACATGGTGGCATTATGGGCTGTTGTATAATGACATGCCCTGTAAAAGAATAGATGAAGTATGTTAATATAAATTTACAATTAATGAAATACGAATGATTGAAATATTAATTATTTGAGTGAAATGGTCTAAGTTGATTTGCGTGTAATTATTATAAAAGGAATTTGTTTAAAACGTATACTACTACTATACTACTTACTTATTTTATTAGGCTAAACTAAGGTCTCATGCTGATGATATGGACGAAGGCGGTTTGCATGCACGATTTCGTTTTTACGTGATTTTTTAATTACGTAGTTTTCATTGAAACCGACACGTATAACTTCGTAAGGTCCTTCCCATTTTGAGTCTAGATTATTTGGGTTGGGGACGCGCAACATGACTTTGCTACCTATTCTAAATTGGGCTAGATTTTTGATTTGACCATCGTATCGCTCTTTTGCTCTTTCTTTCATTTTCTGGATGTGTTGTTGAGCAGTATCCCTTGAAATACGAAGACGTTCGTTTAGATCTTTTAGATAGTCGCATGCCGTATAGTCCGGAACGACTTTTGTTGAGTAAAAGGGACGTGGTTTAAAGCCGAAGAGAAGTTCGTGAGGAGTGTAACCTGTTGAGGTATTTACAGAAGTATTGTGACACATTATGGCAAATGGGATAATTTTGTCCCAGTTTTTGAGACGACGACTATGGTACATTCGGATGTGATCACGCAATGTAGCATGGAATCTTTCTAGAGCTCCGTTTGTCTGAGGATGATAGGCGGTGTTGAAGGAATGGTTTGTACCTAAGAACTTGACTAACTGTTTGAGAACGCTGTTCATAAA